TTTCAGGTTAGGGTGAAGGTTGACGCCTGTTAAAACATTTAAATCAGCTGCATTTTTATGCACCTGTCCTAAGTCAGGAGCCTGTTGTTCAGTGGTTGTCGTTTGTTGGTGTGGTTCATTAGTGTTTTAGTTTTTTATATAGATTAGACCGTTGGTTTTCCTGTTTGAATTGTTTTACACTAGTCTTTTTGGGGCCCTTTATAGCTTGCTGTTCGGTGTGAACCAAGGCTCCGTGTTGAAGACGGTACTTTGACCTATAATTGTTTACTTTTTACACATTGTGACTTGGATGGATAGTTGTCTCATTGGCACTCATACCACATCTTCTTATTTATATCTACCAGCACAGAGCCTCTTGTTTATTTATATTGTGTCATAGATCAAACTTATTCGTTCAGTGTATATTTACTTGTTTTTGTGTATTGTCTGTGATCAAAGGTATGCTGTGTCTGCATTGATTGTAAGGTGTGTGTACCTAACATCATTTTTATGCCCCCACCGTAGCAGAGGGGGCATTTAGTTTTACCCTTGTCTGTCCGTACGTCCGTACTTCCCAAAATTGGTTTCCCATCTCTAACTTCAGTCTGCCTCAACCAAATGTTATGAATCTTATACACAATGCTTATTACCACAAAACACAGATCAAGTTTGATTTTTGGTAGCGTCACTGTTACCGTTCTAGAGTTATGCCCCTTTACAAATGGAAAAATTGCTGAATTTTTCGTTTCCATTCTCTAACTTAAGTTTGCCTCAACCAAATGTTATGAAACTTATGCACAATGCTTATTACCACAAAACACAGATCAAGTGTGATTTTTGGTAGCGTCACTTTTACTGTTCTAGAGTTATGCCCCTTTACAAATGGAAAAAAATGCTGAATTTTTCGTTTACATTCTCTAACTTAAGTTTGCCTCAACCAAATGTTATGAAACTTATACACAATGCTAATATTACCACAAAACTCAGATTAAGTTCAAATTTGGGTAGCGTCACTTTGACTGTTCTTGAGTTATGTCCCTTTATAAGGTTATATGCAAGCAGGGGCATCATCTGTGTCCCATGGACACATTCCCCATTTTTTTCATTAATCATTTATCTAAAAGACTTTTAAAAAATTTATGCTCAGTAAAGGTGAGACATTTCAGCATGTGCACTCTTGTTTTGTTTCAAACAGGTTATTGTATATTTAGGTATAACATGCAAGAAACACTACTGTAACATTTTATTTAAGTTTGAAGATACTCTGTAAATTCCAATGTTAATCTGACATGACCTTATGAAATATATGTAAACAATATTGCTAAAGGGCATGATAGAAAAATTTGAATTAGTTGTGGTTATCAATGTGACATATTGTATGCATACATTGATCTAACATTTATAAAATGTAAGAAGAAGTTATATTCAGCATGTGTTTATTTTAGATTCTTTCAGTTTTAAATAATTTTATGTTTTCATAGTTATAACTTTTGAAAAGTTGATCATGATTAGCAAAAAATAAGCATTTATTTATTTAAAAATATTCATACCCAGGTATTAATGAAACAGTGAATCTTTTAAAGTAGATTATAATAGTGAAATTTTCACATGAAGTTGTAAAAAACTAGCCTTATAGTCAATACACTGGTTGTGAAATACCTAGTGATTATTGAAGCATCAGTCAAATTAGAAATCATTTTACAAAAGATACCTGTGAATATTATACATTGATTGATGACAAAAATGTAGGAGTTATTGACAGCTTAAATCCCATTTACTTTTAAATCGCCTCTCACCTGAAGGACAATTACCTACTTCATTAATTATTATGTCTATGTAGGTGTGAATAAAGAAATTTTTGGCTACATGTTTTAACTAACTGCTGCAGTATGTGTATAAAATTTTGGCTGCATTTTAAGTATTGACAGTAATATATGTGTTGGGAGTATTCAGAGATATGTTAGAGATGATGAAAGTATTGCTAATGTGTGTAAGGAATCATTCTCCTACCTCAAAGGTAAATCATATTTCAATTTACTTTTATTCTTAAATTTGGTAATGTGAAAAGTATTTTAGACAGAATTATTTTTCTTTTTATAAACCCTGAATAAGGTATCACAATGGTTATCAATGTAATACATATATATTAAAATTACATCAGTCGGACTGCACATGTAATCTAAATATGATTATTAATTCATTTTGATTCATACAGAATTATGAGGAAAAAAAATGTTTTGCAAAAACTGACATAATATGTTTTACAAAAACAAAACTTTCATTTTAAATTTTGATCTAGTGATATTTGCATATAACATTTCCTGAAATCACAATAATTTATCTCAAAATTTTGTCTAATGGTAAACAATTGCAATATTAAGGATACACAAAATTTCTGAATTTACACTAATTGATTATTATACTTTATTTAGTGTTGTGAAAATTTTTTTTTCTCAGTTTTACCAGTTTTGTTTAAAGAGGACCAATTGCTGAAAAAGAATCTTTTGGAAATGTAATATTTGTGGGTATGATCCCATTGGAGATTAATGGTCAACTTAGTAGTAATGATCATTATACACAGCTACCAACTCTCCTACTAAATATAAAACATTTGATTTTATTTCAAGGAAAAATAGAAATCCAGGGAAAGGGAAAAAAATTGTCCAGCTGAAAATTTGACAAAAAATGAAAAAAATATATATCATGTATATAGAAAATCAGAAAAATTGCCCCCAAAATGGAAACAGTTGGGAAACTGTGACCTACTTAACGAATTATTTGAATTTGATTTACCCCAAACACCATTAAACAGGTCTGTTGCCATTGCAGAAAAGACAATAACTTGAATGAAATCATTCAATAAATCCCAATCTTTTGCCAAAAAAGATATGATAATCTTTAATTTAATCATTAGTCGAAAAAAATTATTCAAGAAAATATACTTTTTTTCCTCCATTTTGCTTTTAATTAGAATGGCTGTTGATGAGTTAAAACATCAAACATTGCCATTACTTGCTAGTAAATCAAATTTGTAGACAAGTTTTATAAATTGTGAAACTTAATTGTGTCCTGAATAAGTACTGGTCGGACATGTTGCAACCATTTCCATGAAACACAGCTTGATGAAATTGATTTAGAAAGAGTAGCGAAAATGAGTGTGTGACTTATTGCTTTCATGCTGACGCTATCTGTGTCTCCTTCCTCCATCAATAATTTTTGCCTACATGGTATATGTATGTATTAGATGTCTCCTCCTCTAAATATTGGACACAATGGTAGTTAACTGATCATTTTGAAATTTCAACAAAATGCATTATGCTAATGTAAGAAAGTTTTGGACTGTCAATAAATTTTGTGGCTTTACCAAAAAAAGTAGATCAAAGGGGCCAAGTATAAATGTTGTTTTCATGGACCAATATTTTGATCTGGAAAGATGACAACAAAAGTTTATTATTGTGTTAAATAAAATGGGATGACCAGCACATTACTGAGTAAAGCACATTACTTACTCCATACTTGCCTTAACTTAGTATTTATATTTTTTGTCTATCCATGCTGCAACTGGCAAATTTTACTTTATTTAATCTGTGAAAATATGTGTATCCACAAAAGACAGATTTTCTGGTAAAATGTCATAATATTTAAAAGATTGTTTGCTGTTACTGAAAGCATTTAAAAACTATTTAACCTGCTGAACAAGTGTTGAGTCAAACTTGTATTTCATTTTTTCCACCTTACCTGGCTAAAAGGGCTAGTGTGAGCTTTTGCCATCATCAGGGTCTAGTCAACTCTCAAAATTTGAACTTCATGTATTATGGTCACCCAAATTGTATAATTCTGATTTTGATGTGTGTTTTTTTTAATTCCTTATTGAAAACCCTGCTTTGGATTTACTTATAATTCACATCAATAAACTACAATAGTATTACAGAAGAAGAAGAAGAATATTTAATTCCAATTAAGGACCAGAAGAACAGTAAATATTTGACATGACAATAACATTATAACTTGAGAATAACACAAATAACATTCAATAAAATCAAGTGATATATACACTTTCTTACATTATACACAAATATAACTATGAACACAGGCCCCTTATCTCCCTCCACCAACTCTTACAATAAGTTCATTAGAGGTAATTTAGTATATGTTTATATCTACATTATAAACAAGCAGTACCATGTACACAGTAGGTCAGTAATCAGTATTTATCTTGATGCATGAAAACAGATAAGTTTGAAGGGATGATCAATGAATGTATGTGTCTAGTTTCTCACTAACTTCATTACAATGTATGTCTATTCGATTTGTATTCTGTTCTTAGACTTATAGAACAGGAGTCATTTTCATTTTGCAAATTTGATCTTAAAAATTTCTCATCTAAACTATACATTTAGTTATTTCATTGAGCAATTTGAAATACAAGTGATTGTTGAAGAGATGAATATTTGATGAAAATTTACTTGAGAGAACTTATGAATTCTTTTGAATAACTGAAGAGACTTTCAAGTTGAAAGTAATCAAAAAGTGCTTTATGATAATATTTGGAGAATGTATGGGACTTTTTTTATGTTTGGATATAAATAGTGACAATATAGATGAGAAATTTGAGGAAATAAAAAAAATGCAGTTTAATATGTTTTATGGTTGGAATTAATGTGATGTTATATAGTTGATTGTTTTTTCTGGATTAATACTTATCATATCTTGTATCAGTGTTTAAGTCATTCCACTTCTTTTACGTCAGATGCAACTTTGAGATTCTTTGATTACCAAATAATCATCTACCTAAAAAACTGCTGGCTTAGCTGGTCTTTGTGGAAGGATTAAGATGGATCAAGTTTTCAGAACATGAAAATAAAATACAGGTTTATTTCAAAATTTGAAATTCCTGTATTTATATATGTTGACAAGAATGATTTTTTAACATCTTTAAATAACGTGCATATAAATGAAGTCTATTTTTAAACAAGGAATTATAATTTGAGACAAGCCAAAAAATTGAAGGTTTTCCTGTGTTGTATTACAATATTTTTTGGAAATAAAAAAACTAGGAAGTAATATTACTGTAGTGATTTATTACACTAATCATAAGGATTTATAATTTTAGTTATATTTAGCTGAAATCAGAAGTGGGAAAAATAATCTCTGTGAAGTGGATATATTCAATAACACTATATCAAATGGGGAAATTTATGTGATAAAATGAAACAATTTTAATTTGTTGAAACTTCCTGAGAAGGGAGTACAACAATTTGACACTTGAAAATCACATGCATAAACAAGCTCAGAGTAAATAATAATACTAATACATTGTTGACATTGTGTATTAGTTGGATAAAATGACATTGGTAAGTTTATTTTAGTAGATTTGAAATAACATGCAATTTTTTTCATGCACATGTGTATGTATCTGTTTATATACATGAAAAATACAGATACATGTTAATATCTATGGCTAAGTTGCAATCGAAGTAAATAATATGGACAATCTTTGGTTTAATTCACGAGAGGAAAGAGTGAGAACCTGTAATCTACTCCTTTTACATACTAATTTTTATAATTTTTCCTTAAGATGGTCTATAGTCAGTTTTTAGCAGCAATCTTCAAGGATGGTACCAATTTTGTGTAATCAACTCCCCTTACAGTTTTCAACAAAGATTTTTCAATTTTTTAGAATGATTGTATGTACATAAAAGATGTGCATCTGAGTTTGCGTACATATTTCAATATTTGTTTTTTAATAGATTTTCCTTAAACATGCAAAGTCAGTGTGCATTTTTGCAATAAATTTTTATTTCTATTTCTATGCTAATATGTTCTGGGAGCTTAATAATAGATGACACTATGAAAGCATTTCAATTAAGACCTGTCCATCAATCCACCTGTCCATCAATCCACCTGTTCTTTATTTTGGTTTCTTGATGACAAATCAAATACTTTATCAGATAGCCACCTGACATGGATAAAGGGTCACATATAACATGTATAATGAGAGGAAGACCCCTATTGAGGTCTCCACTTCTAAATTTTAGGTAATAGCTGGGACTTTGTATAATAGTCCCAGGTAATAGTCGAAAAAAAGATTGACCAGACTCAGCGAAGGCAAGGAGTTTCTTGTTTATAACTCATAGAACCCTTTATGGGATTTAAACAAACTTACGTATATGGTCACATATTAATAAAAGATCCCTTTTCATTTTGAGAACACTGTTTCCAAGGTCAAGTTCATTGTAACAAAAAAGTAGACTGAAATAAATTAGATTATAATTAAACATGCATATAATATGGTCACATATAATTAGTGGAGAGAATCTATTGATTTTGAAATCATTGCTGGGATGGATAGTATTATAATAAAGATGCCAGAAACAAATATAAATATTTATTATGTATTTACTGTTTCTGTCAGCAATGTAAGTCAGTATTCAGTAACAACTTCCTTTTTAACTCAAACATCCCAGATGATAACAAAACTTTACAAAAGTCAATTTCTTTAGTGATTATATGACATGTGTCAAAATAATCATTTGTGATATTACAGTCTTTCTTTGAATGAATTAGCATGGTAGTATAAGTTAACCATCCACTTAACATAAGTTTATCAGTTTAATTTGCATATTATGTGGGTGTATAATAATCCACCCTTTAACCATAAAACCACACTGAAGAAAAATACGATAACATATATACATAAATTACAATATGGAAAAAGAGCATCAGTGTTGTTTGGTTTAGTTAGTTTTCTGTAAAACAATGCTTAATTGTTACGATTTCAGAAATTGATGCATACAAACAATACTAATAAAATTTAAACTGTAAGTTCTTATTTTTGTGCAATCTGTCCTGTCACACTAAAATAACATTTAAAAAATTTGTAAATTTCCAGTTTTATATTATTGTAGACAACATATTAATGGCAATCATACCACATCTCCCTAATTTTTGTAAAATTCAGCAGTATAATGGTAAGAACTGCTTTAATTTGAAAGTAAAAGTTATTTTTATATTTAAACTGAGAAAGGGAAAGTAGTTTCAAAATTGATACATAATATGTCTACATACAGTTTGTTATTTAAATATACAAGTATTATTAGGTACAAATACCTATGTCTAATTTTATATGAGTCATTGAACCCATGTTTTCCTATAAATTTTTATTCATATGAAAAGATTTTACACCTGTGTGTAAAGTGAGTAACTCCTACACAGACACTTATACTATAAAATAGACAAGAATCTTAACTCATTGTGTAGTTACTTTTTAATGCACTTGTTTACTTTACCAGTTTTATGTTAATTGTAATTGATTCAGTATATTGAGAAATAGTGTAGGTTCTTATCTCTGACTTGTGGTTTTTGATTTCTTCCTTTAATAATATATTCTCCCTCCTTATTTTAACAAAAAAATCAAGGCTACACATAAAGACAGTCATATCTTATTGCACTCATTTGCATACAGTGTTAAATTTTCTGGTCTGAGGTTCCAAGTCATCTTCTAGGCAATATTTCTATGCCCTAGGACATTCTATAAATACATCTTTGTCTATAGGCCCATTTTATAGACCTCTGATTAGAAACCCTCTGAATATTTCATTTTATACTTGCAACAATTTCAATACACAAAATTGTCACCAGGCAAAGTGACACAGCTGTTTATTATGTATTTATGACCTGAACTGCTGTAGCAAATGGGACCATTTTAGCTGGCATGGATATTTATTTGAACGTTTTTACAAATTTTGTTTCAACATGGTTCAGTTCTGATAAAAAAATTTGGTCATAAATAGACTTTTTTGATAGAACTTAAACTTCAAAAATCTTCCTTTTGAGAACCTATCCAGCAACTGACACCAAATATAATTAGTAAGAGTTCACTAAATGTAGATTGTCTTGGCAATATGCCAGTTAATAAAAAGCTGCAAAGGAGACCTTTAATACATATGGTACATTTATGTCTATGGATATTATATGTATTTAGACAAATCTTCTTTCTCTTGTTAATCACTAAATTTATTGAAACCAATCGATAGTACCATTTGTTTTGAATGTGTTGTATTTAAATATTTGTATATTTGTAAAAACTTCCAACTTGACTGCCAAAAAAATACACGCTGGTTCCTTTTGGCCTTTATTTTACTATCAGTTTAATTTTCATCCTTGCAGTAAGTCATCATTAATATTAGACTAAGAATACAGCTAAAAATAAAATGGAGCTTTCAAGTCCAAAATTGTTTTTTGCATTTGTATGAAATTATGTTGTAAAATATATTTCAGGATGACATTACACGTTTTTGGCGTGAAGAGAGAGAAGAAGGAGCAGTGTACAGTGTTTATCTCAAGAAAGTCACATACCACTCATTCTGTGCGGTAAATTTAATCATTTATCATAAGTTTACTCAATTAACAGGCAACAATACCGGTAATTAACATTGTATCTGAAGAATTCTCAGCACCATTAAGACAGTATGTCAATCACAGTGGAGTTGACAAAGTTACATCAGTTTGTAAATTTCATACTTGGATATGTGCCACTAGGGGAGCTGGAAATTCTTACCCTTCAGAGCAAACATGTTTATCCTCTCTTCTTTTTACTAGGGTTTATGTTGCCTAGTCTTTAGTTTTTGTCGAGCCTGTGACTTCTGTCGCAGAAAGCTCAACATAAGAATAGTTATTAGGCGGCGGACATGTTAACTAACTACTTAAAAGCTTAATATTTCAGAAGGTAGAAGACCTTGATGCTTTATACTTTGTATATACTGTGGATTCATTTATTTTCGTGGGTATCAATTTTCGTGGATTGAGGAAAACTTGTATTTTTGTGGATATTTGATTTCGTGGTTTTGACAATCTGTGCATACAAAGCCTATAGAAAATATGTTATTCGTTGATCATTTGAATTTGTGGTTCACCTGTATCAACGAAACCCACCAATATTGGTTTCCAACGAATAATAATGAATCCACAGTAGATGCCTTATGATTGAAGTTTCTGTCTGTCATATGTCCATCGTCCTTGACCTCATTGACTACTTGAAAAAAAGTTAAGATTTTTTGTAATGTTAATTTCTCTCTTATTATGAGTAATAGGATAAATGTAATTGGTATGTGCATACCTTGCAAGGTTCTCTTGTCTGTCAGACAGTTTTCACTTGACCTCAACCTCATTTCATGGATAAGTGAACAAGGTTAAGTTTTCGTGGTCAAGTCCATATAATCTGAGATACAATAAGCAATAGGTCTACTATGTTTGGTGTATGGAATGATTGTAAGGTGTACATGTCCAACTGGCAGGTGTCATCTGACCTTGACCTCATTTTCATGGTTCAGTGGTCAAAATTAAGTTTTGTGTTTTGGTCTGTTTTTCTAATACTGTATGCAATAGGTCAACTATATTTGGTGTATGGAAATATTTTACAATGTACATGTCAGTCTGACAAGTTTTATTTGACCTTGACCTTGATCTCATTTTCACAGTTCATTGGTCAATGCTAAATTTTTGTGTTTTTTTCTGTTTTTCTTAAACTATAATCAATAGGTTAACTATGTTTAGTGTATGTAATGATTGTAAGGTGTATATGTCTGTCTGTCAGCTATCATCTGACATTGACCTCATTTTCTTGGATCGTGTAAAGTTTATGGGATACTTGTAGTAAAACTTTATATTTAGGGCTATCAACATAAAATCAATTGTCTGTAACGAAGGCCAGACATTTCAGCATGTGCACTCTTGTCTGTGTAATGTTTTTGTTGTCTTCTGGTTGATTTTTGTCTTCTTTCTTTGGCCAAGGTGTTGTCCGTACATCTTAAGCTTATGATTTTTATTGACCACTTGGCATCTTATTTTTCACAAGATGTAACTGATATTTGAGCTAGTTAAATTAATATATGAGTATAAATTAAAAAATTAATTAAATTAATTAAAAAAAAACATTTTTATAAAACAGTATTGATGCATTCATTTTAAGGATGATTGTTGCTGATATTCAAAATACTAATCTGATTTACCAAATATTCTTAATGCTACTTTTTAGTGTACATTTTTGGGGTTCAATTTTGAATGTTGTGAAGAATGAAATTTTGAAGAAAAAAGGATTTTATAACAGAATCAAAAGTGTCAGTTTGGCATTCGCAAGGTATATTTTTAGCTATAGAGTACAAGCAACTTTATTCCACCTTGAACTAGTAAAAGTTCGTAATTTATTGTTTTAAGTGCTGTTATGCTATATTTAAAATTATTTTTTTTGACATTTTAATGGCAGTCTGCAGTAACCTCTATAGTTATATAACCACAACATGCACAAGGCCATTGATTCTAGAGATTTAAATTGATTCATTTCAGATAAGATGTTCATTCCACTTCCTTCTATCTAAAAACATAAAATAATGAAAGATGATTAATATTTTCCTCTGTTATAAGTTTGATAACTATTGAAATAAATGTCTTATCATACTTATCAGATGTTTTGTGTTAGTAATCTTAAGAGTAATACATTTGCACTACATTATATATGTATGGTATGCTCCCAAAAAAACCAATAGTGTCAGAGTGAACAGACGTTCTTAAACAAAACTTTAAAGAAATTCATTTGCAATAGAAGCAGGGTAGAAAATTAAAGCATAGGGCACCTTAATTGTAAAATGGCGTATGTACAGCTGTAAATTTTACTCTCAATTTCATCCAAAAAATATTCTGATTCTTCTAAGTCCTTTTGTTTTGCTCTTGTAATAAAATCTTAGAAAGGTTTTGTTTGTCTTGCATGTCTTGTGTATTTAACATAATTTTTTTACCTGAATCAAAGAACATCTAGACAAACAATTAAAGGCAAGTAATAGCAAACAACACACATGGTCCTGATAGCATGGGTTGGTTCATGCACAATATGTGGTGGGCCAGACCCACACTTGTTTGTTCTTAGTTATTTCAAAATGGAGAACTGTTGCCTGAAAGCCTGTATTGTTTTTATTAGTGGCATCTAGTTGTACCTAAACATATGTCCACAGCTAATAGTAAAATTACCATTCATTTATTCTTTTGATGTCATTTTAATCCAAACAGTGAAACCATAAATGATTTTACTGTGTAAGAGATCATCTCACAGAGATTTGCAAACTTCTAAAAAAAAACACAGTTTTATTTTCTGATGACAAAAAATTCAACACTCTGTTTGTAATGCTATGTGTTAATATGCAAACGTTTTATAACTACCACTATGAATTAAACAAGATGCCATTGATTATTTAAAAAAAAACAACAAGTTGTTATGAAAATTTTGCGCTGTTATATAAATTTGAACTCCAAATGAAAAAAAATCACTCTTTGTATTTATACAGTAAGGCTTTTTACATTTATTTGAAAATAAATTAATTTTGGATGTAACGCGTCTTGAAGGCTGATTGGCTGACGTTGTTTTGTTTATCAGCTCAGAGACATAATTTTGTCATGTGACCGTGACGTCATCAACGTTTTTTCATGGTTTACTACGGTTTAAAATGGAATTTAGAATTAAATTATAAGAAATGACTGTAATATTTTTTCTGTCTATTCAAAATAACATAAAAAATGTGGTGCACACTTTAAAATAACCCACTAGTATATCAGTCATAGTTAATATAAAGAAAATGTAACCATACAGTGTAGTCATGAAAATATTAAGATTTCTTTATCTTATGAGATGGTCATTAATCTAGCAGTATATGATGAAGAAGTGTAAAAGTAAAATTTCTAATTCATATTTTGCTATACATACAGCTATGAGATGAAATATTTGGTATTGTTTAAGAATTTGTGTATTGGGAAGTGTGGTGTTTAACTGGTACAAAATGCACTAGCAATCAAAATAAAACTATAAGTAAAAGTTGTTATGTTTCTGTGTTGTTATCTAAACCAGTAGAACTAAGGTCTATTATACAAAAAAACAACTACTGATTTTTCTGGAAGAAAACAACTTCTGATTTTTCTGGAAGAAAACAACTTCTGATTTTTCTGGAAGAAAACAACTACTGATTTTTGTGGATGATCTAAATGCCAGTTTTGACAAACTTTACGAGTCAGATTGATTTATAAAATTAACATTAGAATGGAAAAAAAATCTTAGGAAGATAAATTTTCATCTTTTAGCAGTTATCCTGTTTACAAAAGAATATTAGCTTTATTCTTTCTTGCATAAGATATGCAGTGCAACTAAAACCTAGGTGCAGCCTTCAAAGTAACATTAAATGTTGTTAGGTACAGATCTTGTCTACGTGATAATTACATCATTTACCTTTACTAATGCATCCTTTTTTTCTGATTTTCATGATAACCTCATCACTAAATGCTTTAAATCATTCTTTTTATTCTTAAAATGTTTTATAGTTTGGAGCAGAAATCTCTTTTTTTTTACTTTCTAAATCAAAATAAATGTTGATTGTTATCAGCATATTTCTATTCTTGTATCTAACCATGTCAGAGAAAATTAAAATAGAATATGCTGTTCATTTATAATCTATTATTTTTCATTATGATATGTTTTTATAAAACATGGTACATGTATCTGCATTGTGATACAGAATTTTACCTATTGTCTTAAAATTCAATAAAAAATCTGAACAAGAATCTAATTAAAAAATTTTAGAATTAAAGAGACTATTCGAAGGCGACCTATTTTGCTTAAATCCACTTTATTTTATTGGTAATGAGATCACATCTCCTTATTTTATATTGTCTATGGTACAAGTACTGTAAGCTGTTCTTAAAATATGGATCAGGTCGGTCTCATAAATATGGGCCTTTTTTATGCCCCACCTACAATAGTAGAGGGGCATTATGTTTTTTCGGTCTGTGTGTCTGTCCGTTTGTCCGTCTGTCCCGCTTCAGGATAAAGTTTTTGGTCAAGGTAGTTTTTGATGAAGTTGAAGTTCAATCAACTTGAAACTTGGTACATTGTACACATGTTTCCTATGATATGATCTTTATAATTTAAATGCCAAATTAGAGTTTTGACACCAATTTCACAGTCCACTGAACATAGAAAATGATAGTGCGAGTGGGGCATCCGTGTACTATGGACACATTCTTGTATCTTATTGATATCAGTACAAAATGTATTTGTAATATGTTAGATATTTTTTTAATTTGTATCATTATTATGCCCCCGTCGAAGCGGAGGGGGCATTAAGTTTTACCTATGTCCCTCTGTACCTATGTAATCACAAAGTTGGTTTCCGTTCTCTAACTTTAGTTTGCCTCAACTAAATGTTATGAAATTTCTACACAATGCTTTTTATAACAAAATACGGATCAAGTTTGAATTTTGGTGGTGTCACTTTAACCATTCTAATGTTATGAAACTTATACACAATGCTTATTACTACAAAATACAGATCAAGTTTGAATTTTGGTGGTGTCACTTTAACTGTTCTAGAGTTATGCCCCTTTACAAAGGGAAAAATTGCTGAATTTTTCACTTCCGTTCTCTTTCTTTAGTTAGCCTCAACCAAATGTTATGAAACTTATACACAATGCTTATTATTACAAAATACAGATCAAGTTTGAATTTTGGTGGTGTCACTTTTACTGTTCTAGAGTTATGCCCCTTCACAAATGGGAAAATTGCTGAATTTTTTGTTTCCGTTCTCTAACTTAAGTTTGCCTCAACCAAATGTTATGAAACTTACACACAATACTTATTACCACAAAACTCAGATCAGTACAAATTTGGATAGAGTCACTTTTACCGTTCTTCAGTTATGTCCCTTAATAACTTTATATGATATGCAAGTGGTGGCATCATCATCTGTGTCCCATGGACACATTCCCCATTTATTAATTTGTAATATGATATAATTATAATTTATAAGTTTTAAAAATATCATGGGACATCTCATAGCATCTATAAAATAACTGTTTCTATCATATGACTATATTTCCAAGCATTTCATGGAATTTTTTCATGAACCTCAATCCCATATATTTATATTCATAATTTAAAGAGAAAAGAAATCTTAACTTGAATATGATTCATGTTAAATACAAAAATATCTTTGCTTACATATCAGATGGACACTGTTCTGAGTGATTGTAAAACAAAATGTGCCTGATATGGCAAGTAACTTTAATAATAATCTAAAAATCTTGTATTTAGATAATTAGGATACTTATTTTAAATACTGTATTTCAGTTGGAAAATGAAAAAGGGAAAGAATTTTCACATCTCATGTGGGAGACACAGAAAATTAGAGTGATCAAAGCAGGAAGATTAGAAAAACTAGTGGAAAGCTTAGTGACAGTAAAAGGAGAGCTGGACTCAACTTATGTTAATGTTTTCTTGGCTACTTTCCGCACATTTGCAACACCAAAACAGGTTTTGGATTTATTAATAGACAGGTAAATTATCAAAACAATTGTAGCTCAAAAGTCTTTTCATTTGCTCAAGTGAGTTGACCAAGTTTTTGTAAGAGAAAGGCCAAGCTTACACAGATATTTTGTATCTGTCACTTCCTTTCTTCAAGCAGACTTTTTAATATGCCCAGATAAATCAATAATACCTAAAAATTCAATTACGCAGTATTTATAATGAATTACTCATGACTCTGATGTTATGATCTGCTCTGTTATATTTAAAAAACAGTACTGATAAAAAGGATGATCACATCTGTCATTATTTCTGTTTTAACAGTTTGTTGTTGTTTACTTTATGCTATTGCAAACCATAGTAACAATATCAAGACAAACATTAAAAACAGAAAAATGGTTCCTCATGTTTTGGCAACCTAATTGTTTCCATGATAACAAATAAATATACCAAAAAATGGTATACTTATTTACAAAATAATGTAAACATCCAGTGAAGCAATGAAATGTATCTACTCTCAAGCTACACCTGTTTGTTATTGTGTAAGGGCATCAGTACATCTGGTAAACTGACAACATTTAATTATTATTCCTCAATATTGTTGAAAAACTGCTTTGTTATTTTTGCTTATTTACCTCTATTTTATTCATGTGCTTATATTCCTGTTTTAAATTTAACTTTACTCAAAAGATATCACCAAATGGCATAGACACCTTTCCAATTTAGTTACTAATAAACATAATATTTTGACATTATTTACTCATAAGTCATTTCCTTATTACATTTATCATAAAAAAAAATTACAATCTGAAAAAATAATTCTTTATAGGTTTAAATGGTTGAGAAAAACTGGTACTGACAGTAAAGAAAAGAAGGAGTTACATGATAGTCAACAAAGGTATTTTTCTTGACTCCAATATGGCAAATGGGCCATTTGTGAAATTACCTAGGCATAACAGGAATACTGTTAGATAGATCCTTTATTCTCTTAAACCAACTAACAAAGGTACAAAGAAGGAAACATAATAATTTAAAATACAGTGCTTAAGGTGATACACGGAGAAAATGTACACAAAAGACAATACAAAAATATATTAAAAAAAAACAAAAATAATAAGAACAAGAATAAACAAAAAACAAAAAGAAAGCCAGAAATATGATATTAATAAAAATAAAAAGATACAAATAGATACAAATTAAATTTGTTCATTAGACAGAAGGACTGACGTTTTCATTTATTACTCTGATAAATTTACACAGTCTTTTTAATGTTGAAAGCCTTTTTGTATTTAACAGAGAGTGTAATTTAGAGGTATTTGGTACTATATGATAATATGATATGGTGAAACAGTGTTTCAAAAAATCTGTGATTCTTGCTATTTATTTAACTTTTTAAGACTGGGGGATTGATACCTTGACATATTGTATAGATTCTTGTCTAATGAAGACAGTATGTAGATCCCTAGATTTCTTTCAGTTATTTGTGCCATTGAACTGTTGTCCCATAGATGTATATTCAACATCTCTTTATGTTCATTTTTATGCCCCACTACGATAGTAGTATGGGCATTATGTTTTCTGGTCTGTGCGTCCATTCGTTTGTTCGTCCGTCCGTCCGTCTGTCTGTCCCGCTTCAGGTTAAAGTTTTTGGTCAAGTGAGTTTTTGTTGAAGTTGAAGTCCAATCAACTTGAAACTTAGTACACATGTTCCCTATGATATGATCTTTCTAATTTTAATGCCAAATTAAAGTTTTGACCCCAATTTCACGGTCCACTGAACATAGAAAATGATAGTGCGAGTGGGGCATCCGTGTACTATGGACACATTCTTGTTTAAACAGGTTTTTGAATGAAAATGAAGAAACTGTATCATATGAAAAAAAAGAAAAATGATTGTGCAATTTCATTCAATTCTCCAAAGTTCTGCGGTTTTTGCTTTCAAATTTTAAGCTAAAACAGGTCAGATGAGAACACAGACTTTTCAGAGCAGGATTTAATAATTTTTGTTAATACCATTGTGAAATTACAGAAAATTATTGACTAATAAATTTTCAAAACAATATTTCTTTCCTTGTTATAAAAACTTTTGGTTTCATAGTGGTAATATTTTATATATTATTACTACGAGGTGATTTGGGATAAATTTTCATTGATTTATGAGTGTTATTTTGTTTATGATGAACCAAAATTTCATGTTTATAAAATGAAAGTGAAACTTGTACAGTAGAGACTTCCTCATTTTGTACTTAAGGAAAGGAAGTAAACTTATTTGTGTGGCCTTGGAATATTAATCACTGACAGATAGTATTAAACAGCAGATGCTAAAGCCTGTTGCTGATGATTCAATGTCTTACTCATTATAACTCATCACTACCTATTTCTCTTGGCATACCAGTACCATTTTACACTTTCAAATTAATGATTAATTAATGATTCCTTTCAGATTTATGTACAAAGCTTGTGTTTACATAGGTATATAGTGTAAGATGTTTATCACATTTACTTTGTTGGAAAAATATAAATCCTTTCTATGTTGGAAGATCACTTCAAAGTTCCAGAAAGGATGTTAAAAGCATTTTCGATCCTCATCATAGAAGTGAAACATAAAAACTAAAAAGAACATGTTTGAATATTGAGCCTTATGTGTTCTATGATGTAAGATTAAAAAACTCAAAGGGTCTGCTTCAATTTCAGGTTATTAAAAAACCACCAACTAGCAGGTGGAATAAATATGCTGTTTCCTTTTTCATAATTTTCATATTCAACATTTACATTGATTAAAGGAATTTGTTTTTACAAAAAAGTAGGGATATTTGTAATCTTAACTTTAAACCTTGTTAAATAAAGTCTGAAATGAAAAGTGTTTCAAGTTAAATTGGTACCTGCTTCAACTTTCCATTTTATGACTTGTCTACACATATATCATCATTCCTTCATGGTAGCACTTACCTATATATATGGTCTGAAGTTCATCTAGCTTAAAACAGAGATTTTTTTTTTTTTTGCCATTTGTTTACTATATAATAGTAAATACTGAATGTTTTTAAATTGATATTTTGTGTTTGTGTATGCCGTGAAATAAGATAACATCACACCTGATAGAAATACCATGTGTACAACCAACAATATGTTACCTTGATAACAAAGATAACATTATCATCTCTGTCGGATCCTATTCTAAGCTTTATAAGACTTACAAATTTTTTATAACCCTCTTTCAGTATTTTCTTTATTTCTTTTTTTTTTTAACTTGACTGAATTGTACGTTCTATGCTTCAGATTAACACCAAACCCTGAATATCATAATACTACTTCTGTGTAGTGTCTTGTAGCTAACATTCAATGACAGCTGTAAATTCAAAAAAAATTGTGTGCATTTATTATTGTGATTGACAAACAATGAAAAAAATGTGAAATTAATGAAGACAATTTCACAAAATGATGCATACAAATTATGAAATCATTAAATGCATTTGAAATGCAAGTTTTTATACGACTGCAAAAAATTTTGCGGTCGTATATTGGTATCACGTCATTGTCAGCGTCGTCCAAAGACATTTGGTTTCCGGACAATAACTTTAGTTAATGTAAATTGAAATCTATCAAATTTAAACACAAGGTTTATAACCACAAAAGGAAGGTTGGGATTGATTTTGGGGGTTATAGTCCTAACAGTTTAGGAATTAGGGGCCAAAAAGGGGCCCAAATAAGCATTTTTCTAGTTTCCAGACAATAACTTGTGGAACGGTGTATGGATCTCTCTGAAATTATACCACAAGTTTCCATACCACAAAGGGATAGTTAGGATTGGCTTTGGGGGGTTATGGCTCAAACCGTTTAGGAATTAGGGGCAAAAAAGGGGAAAAAACAAGGGTTTCCTGGTTAATGGACAATTAAAAAAAAGTACAATGTTAAGTTTGGATTACCTCCCTTACACTGCTTTTAAATTATGTATAAAGAAATGTTGTATTGTCTTGAGGTGATTAGCTGTCAATTTATTTTTAGAAGTTACTATTTAAAAATGCTGATTAAGGAATATTTAATATATTGATTTTAGCCATGAATATGTATGTCATTTTCTATCTTAAGACTTTTATGATGTATTTAAATGGGTAATTATGGTTGCAAACTCCATTGGAAATTTGAATTGAGATTATGACCATATCTTGAGGGAAAGAATTTTTTTTTTTGGAAAAGGGGGGGGGGGGGGGGGGGTAAATAGAAATTGTGAAGGGAAGGACAATTTTTTCTCATTTGAGATTTCAGAAATTAAAACGAAAATTTCTTTAAATATTTTTTTTTAGAGGGGGGGTGGGGGGGATGGCAAAATTTAAAATTTCTTTTTTGAAGGGGGTCAATTCGCAACAGCATAGTGTATTGCACAAAAGCAATAAAAAAGGGGGGGGGGGGGGTCAATTCGCAACAGCATAGTGTATTGCACAAAATCAAAAAATTGAATATAAATTCCAATCATATAACCAATTCTAAGTTCTTTGACTACAGTTAATCTGTGTCAGAAACCTGTTGTGTCAAATATTTAATTACAATCCAAATTCAGACCTGTTTCATGCACAAACATTGTGTCCATTTTTGCCCCAACTGTTCAGGGTTGGACCTCTGCTGTCGTATCCAGCTGCGCTCAGCGAAGCAATTTATTATTTTTGTGAAGCCTATCCCAGTGCAATTTTTTGAAATAATGAAAACATGCAAAAAAATTCTGAATTTGCAGTAGATGAGTTCTGATGTTCTCCAGTATTTTGATATAGGATCTTATATTTACATAAACCGTAATATACTACTAAAGTATTTTTCATTCCAGAACAATAAAATCTGTAATATCGGTATGGTTGGATACATATCCTGATGATTTTAGAGAAGATCCAGATTATCCATGCTTACATACTCTTATGAAATTCTCAGAACGTCACATACCTGACAGTGACCTGTCATCACGAGCCAAACACAAGTTAGAAAAATTCCTAAAGGAGGCTTCAAATAGATCAGGTATTTATTAAAAGATGTTATAGTCTTATTGCAATATAAGAGATAAAGGATTGGGATAAAAAGATGTAATCACAACTACAGGACTGATAAATAGGACCATATTCATACTTGCCAAATGAAAATAGAAAAAAAATTAATTCTGATGGCTTTTGATTATTCACATTACAGATCATATGATTGCGATTGATCTTGATTAGTCCTGTTAACAGAAGTGGAGTGGCAATAGCTGAAGCAACATCTAATGTAGCACTATAAGAAACTGTATAATGATTCTTACTAATTTCTTAGTGAAAAATTGGAGTTGATTGTGACTTTGGAAACAGATTAGATAAGGAACAAACATCTTGTTTTCTTATCCTATTAATGATTCATCTGTAATCTATTATATGTTCATACCAATTTGTATATTGTATTACATCTAAATACTTGAATTAAATAATAAAATATGTTTTAACTAATGGTAACTTTAAATATTTTGAGATGGTGGTATAGAATTCCGGTTCTCTTTATGTGATGAGGTAGATCATATGATGGATATGGATTATGTTAAGCCATTACAGTTAATGGATATCTCCAATCAGAGGCTAGCAGAACAGTTGACATATAAAGATGCAGTAAGTATAATGTTGTTTAGTAGGTTAGACATAACCAGTCACAAACATTACAGAAGAACAGTTGACATATAAAGATGCAGTAAGTATAAGGTTGTTTAGTAGGTTAGACATAAACAGTCACAAACATTACAGCAGAACAGTTGACATATAAAGATGCAGTAAGTATAAGGTTGTTTAGTAGGTTAGACATAAACAGTCACAAACATTACAGCAGAACAGTTGACATATAAAGATGCAGTAAGTATAAGGTTGTTTAGTAGGTTAGACATAAACAGTCACAAACATTACAGCAGAACAGTTGATCTATAAAGATGCAGTAAGTATAAGGTTGTTAAGTAGGTTAGACATAAACAGTCACAAACATTACAGCAGAACAGTTGATCTATAAAGATGCAATAAGTATAAGGTTGTTTAGTAGGTTAGACATAAACAGTCACAAAAATTACAGAAGAACACCTAAATTCCAAAGAGCTGAGTCCCAAATACCATAACCAGTCTGCAGGTTATTTATAACTGAGGACTTTTTAAAAATCAGAATTGCTTCCCATTAATCCATTTTTACGCCTGTTTACGGGACATATCATGGTATACCGTTGCCTGTTCGTCCGTAGTCAACATGTCGGACAACAACTCCAAAACATTTTAACTAATGAAACTTTGGTGAATTGTTTATATCTATTGACGTAAGTGAGCAGTTTTCGTGTAACTTTGGTGAATTGTTTATATCTATTGACGTAAACTCCCTTTCGATTTTTCTAAATTTTAGATTTTACACTTTCGAGTTATGGGATTTTATTCATAAAAAAAGGGGGGATTTTCCAGTATATTGACAATAACTCAAAAGTGCTTTGAGCAGTTTTCATGAAACTTTGGTGACTGTTTTATATCTATTAAAATAACATCCCTTTAGTTTTTTATATAAATTTCTGATATGATATTGAGGAGTTATGGAACGTGACTGTTTTATATCTATTAAAATAACATCCCTTTAGTTTTTTATATAAATTTCTGATATGATATTGAGGAGTTATGGAACGTGACTGTTTTATATCTATTAAAATAACATCCCTTTAGTTTTTATACGACCGCATAAAATTAAAAATTTTTTGGTCGTATATTGGTATGACGTTGGCGTCGTCGTCGTCGTCGTCCGGCGTCGTCCGAAGACACATTGGTTTTCGCACTCTAACTTTAGTTTAAGTGAATGGATCTCCATGAAATTTTACCATAAGGTTCAATACCACGAAAGGAAGGTTGGGATTGATTTTGGGGGTTATGGTACCAACAGTTAAGGAATTAGGGGCCAAAAAGGGGCAAAAAATAAGCATTTTTGTAACTTCCAGACAATAACTTGTGTGTAAGTGTATGGATCTCTCTGACATTGTACCACAAGGTTCCATATCACAAAGGGAAGGCTGTAATTGATTTTGGGGGTAATTGCCTCAAAATTTTAGGAATTAGGGGCCAAAAAAGGGGCAAAAAACAAGCATTTTTCTAGTTTCATGACAATAACTTGTGTGTAAGTGTTTGGATATTTCTGAAATTGTACTACAAGGTTCCATATCACAAAGGGAAAGCTGGAATTGAGTTTGGGGGTAATTGCCCGAAACGTTTAGGAATTGGGGGCCAAAAAGGGGCCAAAAATAAGCATTTTTCTAGTTTCCAGACAATAACTTGTGTTCAAGTGTATGGATCTCTCTGAAATTGTACTGCAAGGTACCATACCACAAAGGGAAGGCTTGGATTGAGTTTAGGGGTGATGAATCATAAGGGGGTTCAAAAAATTTGGAGGGGGGATTTTTTTTTTTTTTTTTTCTTTTTTTCCTTTTTTTTTTCTTTTAAAATTTTCCATTTTAAGTTGGTTATTTCTGATTTATATTTAAAAGCAAATAATAATGATATGGTAGGAGATACACACCAAACAGGATGTGTAAATTATTATATAATAAGTATTGTGCAATAGCAAGAAATTTTCAATTGCACAGTATTGCACAATAGCAAGAAATCTTCAATTGCACAGTATTGCGCAATAGCAAGAAATCTTCAATTGCACAGTATTGCGCAATAGCAAGAAATATCCAATGGCACAATATTGCGCAATAGCAAGAAATTGTCAATTGTACAGTATTGCGCAATAGCAAGAAATATTCAATTGCACAGTATTGTGCAAAAGAAGATACTTCGTATAAATTGCTTATTTTTTTATCAATTTCAATGGGGTTTTATTCTTGAATTCTTGGGGTTCTTTAATATGCTGAATCTAACCGTGTATTAAGTTTTTGGATTTTGGGCCCCGTTTTTAAATTGGTCCACATTGAGGTCCAAAGGGTCCAAAATTTAACTTTGTTTGATTTCATCAAAAATTGAATTATTGGGGTTCTTTGATATGCCGAATCTAACCGTGTATTTAGATTCTTAATTTTTGGTTCTGTTTTCAAATTGGTCTACATTAAGGTCCAAAGGGTCCAAAATTAAACTTAGTTTGATTTTAACAAAAATTGAATTTTTAGGGTTCTTTGATATGCTGAATCTAAACATGTATTTAGATTTTTGATTATGGGCCCAGTTTTCAAGTTGGTCCAAATCGGGGTCCCAAATTAAACTTTGTTTGATTTCAACAATAATTGAATATATGGGGTTCTTTGATATGCTGAATCTAACCATGTATTTAGATTTTTGATTTATGGGCCCCGTTATCAACTTTTTCCACATTAAGGTCAAAAGGGTCCAAAATTAAACTTTGTTTGATTTCATCAAAAATTGAATTCTTGGGGTTCTTTGATATGCTGAATCTAACCATGTATTTAGATTTTGGATATTGGACCATAATAGGTGAATGTCCAATTTAAAATTTTTAAGTTCTTAGACCACATTCATTCTGTGTCAGAAACCTATGCTGTGTCAAATATTTAATCACAATCCAAATTCAGAGCTGTATCAAGCTTGAATGTTGTGTCCATACTTGCCCCAACTGTTCAGGGTTCGACCTCTGCGGTCATATCAAGCTGCGCCCTGCGGAGCATTTTATTTATATAAATTTCTGATATGATATTGAGGAGTTATGGAACTTTATTCTTTGAAAAAGAGACAGGTGTATCATGGGCTCATGGCACAGCTCTTTATTAAGCATAACCCATTCCTAAGTAGCTCACTACAAAACAGTCAATGCAATCACACATAGAAACACTAAAATTCAAGCTGTACATCTATTTATGTCAAATGGTACCTTGAAATATTAATATATTAATTATATATAATAGTCAGCTAAAAAATTGCTAATGTCAATGTCAGTTAAATGAAGAAAAAAATTGCCCTGTAAGATACTTTTTTTTAAAAAAACTTGCTTCCCCTTTTTTTTCTGCTGTTTTCTACTTTTTTTTTTTCTTTCTTTTTTGTCGAGCCTGCGACTTTTGTCGCAAAAGCGAGATATAGCCATCATACATTCCGTCGTCGTCAGCGGCAGCGTCCACAAATATTCACTCTGTGGTTAAAGTTTTTGAAATTTTAATAACTTTTTTAAACTATCCTGGATTTCTACCAAACTTGGACAGAAGCTTGTTTATGATCAAAAGCTAGTATCTAGAAGGAAATTTTGTAAAAATTTATTTCCTGTTTTTCCGTGTATTTCTTATAAATGGACTTAGTTTTTCTTCCAGTTAACATTACATACAGTCTGCAGTTAAAGTTTTTAAAACATTTATTAGATTCATAAACCATCCTGGATTTTTACCAAACTTGGATAGAAGCTTCTTTCAATCAAAAGATAGTATCTAGAGGAAAATTTATAATTTTTTCCCCATTTTTGTTTAGCCTGCGACTAACAGTAAAAGTAGGTGAGACACTGGGTTCAGCGGAACCCTTACGAATTTTTTACTATACTTGTTTAAGATTTATAATTTCTATTTCAGCAATTATTTAAAATGGTTGTACCTCATCAATGTCTAGGTGCTGTGTGGGCTCGGAGAGATAGGAAACATGGTAGGGGAGGTAATGTGGCTTCAAGTGTATTGGCAACAATAGAACAGTTCAACAGAGTTTCTTTACGGGTTATTGCTACAATTTTGAAAAATCCTGAGCTCAGAGCATCACAACGTGCTAGGATTATACAGAAGTGGATAGAGACTGCTCAAGTAAGTAGTTCAGTATCAAATAAAATCCTAGTTTGGCAAGACAGAAAGCTTATACCCTTTGAACTATAAAACATAAATTCATATTTTATTTTCGTACTCATTTACTACCAGCTTTTTGGCTGTAAATCTTTTCTAATTTAACTTGCATGTTCAAGTATTTGTTTATAAAACCACTGAACTGTTTTTTCAAACAATATTTCAACAATGATTTCTTTACACTTTTTCCCAACTCAGATAATTCATACACCTTGATACAAAGAGTTTTGAGAAAGAAATGAAAGATTCAGAAATATTTTCAAATTATATTTTACACCATGTAAGAGATAGTTTGTTACTGTAAAGAAAATATTGTTTCGTGCAATGCAGTGAAAAACAAAAGGGTGTTAGACCTTAATTATGTCTGAATAGAAGTGTTTTCATTTGACAGGAATTGAGAAATTTGAAGAATTTTTCCTCTCTAAAGGCTATAATCTCAGGTCTACAGGCTCACTCAATATACAGGTTACGGAGATGCTGGTCGTCTCTTCCAAAGTAAGTTATTTTTATATATTTGCACAAATAAACTTATTACATTACATATTATAGATTAACTTAATTTCCTTTGATTTTGTACTGTCAATACTTTTTCAGTACTGTGAAGGCTACAGACATGTCAGTATCAAAGTTAAATCATAAACAGAAGAATTATTACAATAATTCTTGATATATATGATAGAAATCTTTCATTGAAATGTCATCTACTCATTTGGAATATCTTCAGATTTTTTGTTTAAAAAACTTTATTGAAATGATTGAATTTATATAGTCACACTTTTATTTTACAATTAAGCTTATTTAATCAATCCTGTTTTTCAGAGAGAGTATAGAATTATTCCAGAGGCTTGCAGAAATTTTCTCTAGTGAAAACAATCAGATAGCCTCCAGAGAACTATTAATGAAAGTAAATATTGCTTTAAATTGAAGTCAGGTGTTATTGCATTTCAGAAAAGGTCAAAGTTCATCTCATATTTTGACAGGTTAAGTAAGAGAACAAATTATTATGACTTTTTTTTAGAAATTCAAGCTAGGCTATAAGTATTGTATCAGCACTTTCAATGGAAATAGATTAAATCAAACTTTCCCTTAAACAGATCATTTCAATTGAGTAGTTTTCGAAGATTTTGCCTGTTATGAATGATGTTGAAGTGAGATATCATAATGTTATCCTAATATATTGCAACAACAATATTAACTTTAAGAACAAATCTGTATATTCTGAAAAATAAAACAACAAATCAATCATTATAGCGTATAAAGATTCCTTAAAGTCTTAAGTTTGACAGAATATGCTGTGTGGCAATTGTCTTTGACACTATTCTTATTTTTAAAGCACTTTATATCTGTCTGACTCAAGACACTGAACCTTGATCTCATTTTCATAGTTGACTTAATCATAAATATTTGTATAATGATTTTTGCACAATAGTTATTGTATAATTGCATCAAGTCGCATTCAATATCAGATCTTTGAAATGCAGTGCCCCTTTTCTAAATCATTACCTTCCGTCACTGAATCTATAGCTGAAGACATTTTTATGCCCCACCTAGGGGCATTATGTTTTTCGGTCTGTGCGTCCGTTCGTCCATCTGTCTTTCTGTCCCGCTTCAGGTTTTTAGGTCAAGGTAGTTTTTGATGAAGTTGAAGTCCAATCAACTTGAAACTTAGTACACATGTTCCCTTTGATATGATCTTTCTTATTTTAATGCCAAATTAGAGATTTGACCCCAATTTCACGGTCCACTGAACATAGAAAATGAAAGTGCGAGTGGGGCATCCGTGTACTATGGACACATTCTTGTTTTTAATTGAAGACAAATAAGGTTAAGTGGACCAAAACTTGTCAATTACATCATGATTAAAGGAAAAATCTCTCCAAATAATTCAGGTTCTTGTAAAAACTGTCCACATAAGTTACATGTACATGTACGAATCACTATTATTGAATATTGTCTTCTTTTTGTAGGAAGCAACAGCCAAGTTTCCTGAGGTAGATATCAGTAGTAAAACAACAAGGAGAAGGAATATGCAGAAAAGACAATCATGGATTGACAATGTAAGTTTTTGCATGAAGTCGTGTAGTATCAGATAAAGTAGTTACATTGGCATTCTTTAAAAAGATTTATTTTAGATTATGTTATAACACTCATTGATGTTTTATTTTTGAAGAAAGTAAAACCCTTTATCAACTTATGGTAAGGCTCAAAGTTGCTAACAGCAAAATGTCAAAACTTAATATTTTCAAAAGAAATCAAACAAAAAGATTACAATGATACAATGATGTCTTTGGCAATTTATATGTTTGAAGCACCATTGTAGGATAGAAATAGATCTTAAGGATGTTCGCTACTCTGTTTCAGAATAACAAGCTTTTTAAAAAACTGTTATAAGTTGATAGTATATAAATAAAGAAACTAAAAAAGCCGGAAAAAATGAAGGGTCAGCGTGCGTTTTCGAGATATAAACCATTGAAAATTTGGCAGGAAATGATTCTCTCTAGATTTTTCATACATTCAACATTGGTACCTTTTTTCATTCAAAAACTATGAAAAATTAACAAGGATTTTATAAGATTTTCAAAGATGGCATTTTAAACTATATGTAATCAAATTATGGGAAAAAAAGTAGGGGTTAGTGGGCAAAATTTTTAATGGCACTACATGGATAAAACTAGAGGATTCGGAATATCTGGCAAAAATTCAAAAACAAGAGGAGTGAACATCCTTAAGCTGATAAGTTTTGACCAATATGACACAGGTGTATTAATGACTCTTTAACAGTTTTTGTCCCATCTCCCCACTCAATGTACACTAGACATCCCTTTCAGTCTGATTACACGTACAATTTTAAATGTAAATTAGCAACTCCTAATACACTTTCATATAATTTATTTTGTCATCTTCTTGAATTAACTGTAAAGGAATGAATTGATTTTCAGGGTATTGTACAAGGAACTGTCCCTTACTTAGGAACATTTTTAACTGACTTAACAATGATAGATAGTGCTATATCAGACAGAACTGAAGATGGATTAATCAATTTTGATAAACGACGGAAAGAATTTGAAGTTCTTGCCCAAATCAAACTTTTACAATCTGCTGCTCAGATTTATAATTTCACAGAAGATAAACAAGTTTGGATCTGGTTTGATGCTGTCCGAGTTTATGATGAAACTGAAAGGTAAATAACAGTATCCCAGTAGAAAATATGTAGAACAAGTTTTACATTAGCCTTAATTATTCACAATTTTTTAACAAGCCTTTTGAGATTAAAAAAAAAAACTGTTTGAAAGGTCAGAAAGTGTGTTTTGTGCTGTGACAACCATACATTTCAAAATATTGGGCCAGGACTAACCCACTGTTTGTTATATCAAGGTAATTTTGGACCAGTGAAGCTAATCAGCTGTCTGCAAGTTCTGTCACAGGACACAGGATTTATCAGGCTCATCTGAAGAAATAAAATTTAAGGTTAGACTGATTCTTCTGATCAAAAGAATCTCATACCAAATGAGGACACAATATCTTACACAACATCTGTTTATGTATGCCTTAAAACTCAAATATTTTCATGAAAGATTAAAATTTGACACATATCTTTTTCACATTAGAGTTCAAATTGAAATAGTTAATATAATGACCTCAAGATGTCTTTTGGTGCTTTGTGTTGTTGGGTTTGTCTTTCATTGCCTTGCACCCTAAAGATGTAGTTTTGATAAGGCCCTAATATGGCCCCCTATTTCCAGCTAAAATTTAAAATTGGGATTTATTGACCAATATTAATAGATAGGAAATAGGTGTTTTTGTTGAAAATTTACATATTAGAATTTTTTTCATGATGTTACAAATAGCACAAATTTTGATTTTCCACGAAAAATTATTGAAAACAGGTCAATTTTCAATGATTTTTAGGACTGGAAACACTGAGCACATGCATCACCATAATAGAATTTTTTAAAATTATGTTTGTTATAACAACTTAAATATCTGACTTGAATATTTAGTTTGTCAAATCCTGCCCTATATGTTTTCCTAGACCTTAATTTTGTTGAAATCCATACTATTTTGTCAAGTTTTAAAAATTAAAAAAATTTTGGTCTATATCAGATGGGGTGTGAATGTCAACGCCTTGTAAGAAACAATAGTTATATTTCACTTTCTTACATATTTGTTCATCAAATTGAAACACTTTAATATCTTGAAACAATATGGACTAAACATTTTAGACCAAATATTGCACATGCCATACTTACTCCTTTCTCACGTGTTTATATATGGTTATTTGCACATTATACTGCTGACATTCCAGTGTTTCTATTATTTACTTTTTCAGTCATGATTTATCCTGTTCTATTGAACCACCAAAAGATGGAGCTACTAGGCTAAAAAAGAAATCATCCAGGTTAGTTTGACATGTAAAGAATGTAATTACTAAATATGAAAGGAGAAAAAAACCTATTAGTTTGATGTTTAAAAAACCTAATATGAAAAGAAAAACTGAAGTTTTAACAGTCTAGATATCATTTTCTCTAAATTGTTAGGCAAGAACTGTTTTTTATGCCCCCGCCGTAGCTGTGGGGGCATTAAGTTTTACCCTTGTCCGTCTGTACGTACGTCCGTATGTCCCAAAATTGGTTTCCGTTCTCTAACTTAAGTTTGCCTTAACCAAATGTTATGAAACTTATACACAATGCTTATTACTACAAAACACAGATCAAGTTTGAATTTTGGTTGCCTCACTTTAACCGTTTTAGAGTTATGCCCCTTTATAAATGGAAAAATTGCAAATTTTTTAGTTTCCGTTCTCTAACTTAAGTTTGCCTCAACCAAATGTTATGAAACTTATACACAATGCTTATTACCACAAAACACAGATCAAGTTTGAATTTTGGTGGCGTCATTTAACTGTTCTAGAGTTATGCCCCTTTATAAATGGAAAAATTGCAAAAATTTTAGTTTCCGTTCTCTAACTTAAGTTTGCCTCAACCAAATGGTATGAAACTTATACACAATGCTTATTACCACAAAACATATATCAAGTTTGAATTTTGGTGGCGTCACTTTAACTGTTCTAGAGTTATGCCCCTTTATAAATGGAAAAATTGCAAAATTTTTATTTTCTTCTAAATATCAAGTAATTTTTGTCGGCCTGCGACTTTTGTCGCAGAAAGCTCGACATAGGGATAGTGATCCAGTGGCAGCGTCGGCTACGGCGACGGCGTTAGCTTACTTCTTAAAAGCTTTATATTTTAGAAGGTGGAAGGTCTGGATGCTTCATACTTTGTATATGGATGCCTCATGTTACGAAGTTTCCGTCAGTCACATGTCCAATGTCCTTGACCTCATTTTCATGGTTCAGTGACTACTTGAAAAAAAAGTTAAGATTTTTTGTAATGTTAAATTCTCTCTAATTATAAGTAATAGGATAACTATATTTGGTATGTGCGTACCTTGCAAGGTCCTCATGCCCGTCAGACAGTTTTCACTTGACCTCGACCTCATTTCATGGATCAGTGAACAAGGTTAAGTTTTGGTGGTCAAGTCCATATCTCAGATACTATAAGCAATAGGTCTAGTATATTCGGTGTATGGAAGGACTGTAAGGTGTACATGTCTAACTGGCAGGTGTCATCTGACCTTGACCTCATTTTCATGGTTCAGTGGTTAAAGTTAAGTTTTTGTGTTTTGGTCTGTTTTTTCTTATACTGTATGCAATAGATCTACTATATTTGGTGTATGGAATGATTGTAAGGTGAACATGTCTAGCTGGCAGGTGTCATCTGACCTTGACCTCATTTTCATGGTTCAGTGGTCAAAGTTAAGTTTTTGAGTTTTGGTCTTTTTTTACTAATACTGTATGCAATAGTTCAACTATATTTGGTGTATGGAAATATTTTATGATCTATATGTCAGTCACACAGGTTTTTTTTTTTACCTTGACCTCATTTTCAAGGTTCATTGCTCAGTGTTAAGTTTTTGTGTTTTGGTCTGTTTTTCTTAAACTATAAGCAATAGGTCAACTATATTTGTTGTATGGAAGAATTGTTAGCTGTACATGCCTGCCTAGCATGGTTCATCTGACCTTGACCTCATTTTCATGGTTCATTGGTCAATGTTTAGTTTACTTGGTTAATGTTAAGTTTATGTGACAGTTGTAATAAAGCTTTATATTTAGGACTATCAACATAATATCAATGATTAGTAAAGAAGGCGAGACATTTCAACGTGTGCACTCTTGTTAAAATTGGAGCTATCTTCCTTTGTCCATGATTATAGTTGAATCAACTACAATCAATGCTTTATACAATGCAATGTTTAATTTTGACTTCCACTGATATAACACAGATCAAGTTGAATTTGGGTTGTGTCACTTTAACCATTATTGAGTTATGCCCCTTTATAAATCGAAAGATTGCAAAATTTTTAGTTTCCATTCTGTAACTTAAGTTTGCCCCAACCAAACATTATGAAACCTTTACACAATATTCATTACCACAAAACTAAGATCAAGTACACATTTTTTGTTTCCGTTTTCTAACTTTAGTTTGCCTCAACCAAATGTTATGAAACTTATACACAATGCTTATTACTACATAATACAGTTATGCGTGTTTACAAATAGAAAAATTGCTGAATTTTTAGTTTCTGTTCTCTACTTAAGTTAGCCTCAACCAAATGTTATGAGACTTACACACTATGCTTATTACCACAAAACTCAGAACAAGTTCAAATTTTTGTTCTTCAGTTATGTCCCTTTATAACTATGATATGCAAGCGGGGGCATCATCTGTGTCCACATGTGGACACTATCCACATTTATTTTTGACTGGCTTGGACAAATTCCAAAACCTGCTTATAGTAAGGTGATGGGTTGGTGAGGAAAAGTTGGTACCTAATTTGTGTAATCAACTCCTCATGCAGTTTTCAACCCAGATCCTAGACACTGCAGAGGAAGATTACACATATTTTGAAGTTGTTCTCATACTATAGTGGAATTGTTAAAGCATTTTTTCTCATTTTTCCAGACTATAGAACCTAAGTCTTTTTTCGAGCAAAATTTATGAAAGAGGGTACAAGTTTTGTGTCATCATCTCCTCCTACAGTTTTGAACCCAGATCCCTGAAACTTCACAGGAAAATTGGACATATGTTGAAGTTGTGCACCTGCTATTATGGAAATGTTTGAGGAATTGAAAACTTAGTCTTTTTCAGCAAAATTTATGAAAGAGTGTACAAGTTTTCAATTTCTCCTACAGTTTTCAACCAAGACCCCTAAGACTTCACAGAAAGATTGTACACATATTTAAGTTGTGCACCTGCTATTATGGTATTGCTTGATGAAATTTTTTCATATTTTTCCAGACTTGGGAACTAACTTATTTTCCAGCAAAATTTACAAAACAGGATACAAAATTTTTGTAATTAACTCCTCCTAAAGCTTTCCACTCAGATCCCTCAAACATCACACAAACATTACATACATATTGAAGTTGCACACCTTCTGTTCTTCATCTTGTTAGATATTAAAGAAAAATTCTTCCCCTTCATGTAATTGCAACTACATTGTAAACATTCTACATTGAGTACTCATAGATATTGCGACCCGGTCATTTGAGACTTAGACCCATTTGTTAATTTTTACCTTACTACTATTAGAAATGTAGATTAACACCAAAAAAGATCGAAATATAGAATGATGATTTGTTTTTCTGATAGATTAACAACTTGATATGTGAGAAATATTTCATATTTTACATTTACAGTCTTAGTAGTAAGCCTCCAAAATTAGACGGATCAAAATTAGCCATTTTTTCTTGTGGACTGGATGATCGCTCTAGTATCTGTAGTTCATTAGATTCACCTGTCTCACCTACTCCTGGGGTAAGTCTATTTAAATCATATGTGGATTTTATTCAAGCTAATTATTTCTCCCTTTCAAAGAAGACAGTCATTATGTATTAGTAATAGTTTCTTCTTCATCTAAGATTGTTCTCACACAACCTTGCCTTAGCCAAAACTGTTTCTTTTGACATTGACTTTTGATATTTTTTGTTTAAGAAATTACGGAAGTCTCAGTGTTTATGCTAAGCTTGAATTGTGTCATGTATGCTTTATCACAACTAAATTTTAAGCTTTACGAAGCATCCCTTTTATTTTTAAATAAGGACTTGTATAGTTTTTACAGCCATACATTTTTTTGTTGTTATATGTTCACTGTTGAAAGTATATTTGTTATTGGTTTCATGCAAAATAGAAAAGTAGAAACAGAATTCGAGTGGAAAACAAAATCATTTAATCTATGAAAACTGACAAAACAAGGATTACACTTGGGATGGAAATATTACAAAAAATATATTTAAACTGTTTTAATTTTGTTAATGAATATGATATATAAAGGTTATGGTTGAAAATTAAAAGAAGTAGCCTATAAAAATGACTTTAATATACATGTATTTCTAATTCATATGTGCCCACTCCATCTTTAAACTATGGTATATTTTCAGATGTCTCACTCATCATCAACATCATCTTTAGTATCATACGACAGTGACCCACCAACTCCATTTAAATCTTCTGACTCATGTGTGATACGTGTCAGTTTAGAATCTGGAATATATACCAATACTCATGTTTATAAAAGTATTATGGTAAGTTCTCATACAACTGATTTTTGTTTGAGTTAAAATAAGATTTGTTTACTGTGTAAAATATGCCAGAGGGACAGCCATTAATTTTAACACCAAGTTGCCTAAAAAATGTTTTAAAGATATTTTATTAAACCTGTCTGCAGTTGAGATGCATTGGAATCAAAATGTGCACTTAAATTGGCATATAATTTTTGAAGCATCAACGTGTTTTTACTCTTTCATTAATTATCAGACATATTTTCATTTTTAGATGGTGTCATAAAACTTCAGGCTGATAGTAATTTGAAGAACGATAACATTTGAGGCACTAAGATACAAAAAAGCTTTTTATTCTTTAACTGATGTTTAATAAAAAATGTTTGTTATGAATATTAGGAAAAAGTTAAAGAGATTGTTTTGTGAAAATGGTTTCAATATTAAAATACATTTTTTGGGTTTTATTTTACAGTTACGAAATACAGATCATACCAATACTGTGATAGATAAAGTGCTAGACAAATATGGAATAATTCATGGTAGACATGAAGAATTCTGTTTATTACAACAACTAACTGATGGAGGTAAGCTCAGACATTAGTAAAAAAAATGTGAAAAATTGAGTACTTTGGAAGATTATACCATACAACATTTTACGTTGCATTGGGGTTTCTTTATTATGATTTAAAATTTGAATTTGTAACTAGTTATGCACAATTGGATAATTGTCAATTATCACTTCAGTAAGATGAGATCTTCAAGCTTCCTAATTTAGTTATATGTTTTGCTGTATGTTTGATGAATATTAAACAAATAATATCTTTTGATGCCATGATTGACTGATTGTTATTTAGGGAGTTTTTGAGATATTTACTGAACCAAACAGGGAATCAGTTTTTGTTTTTGAGATATTTCCTGAACCAAACAGGGAATCAAAAGACTAATTAATAGTTTTATTGCATGTTTGAAGAAAAAATGACATGTGTTGACAAAATTCTTTATAGTATTAAAATTAAAGAAATACATGTAATTCAACATAAATTTGGACATATATAAGGACTGTTTGACATTAAGTACAAGAAATACTGTTTCTGTATGACACCTTATGCTTAGATAATAGCATTTGATAGGAAGTATGCAACTTTTTGGCTCTATAGATTTGAAGAATAAGTCACAGTTTTACCCCAAAAAAGAGTTCTGCTACAGGATGACATATAGTATTGATACCTTTTTGCAACACAGATTAATTTTTTATTTTATTTTTTAGAATTCCTTATACCAGATAAAGCAAATGTGTTTTATGCAATGAACAATACAGAAAGTGAACTTAAATTTATTGCAAGGTCTAAAGAAGATCAACAAACTAGGTCATTACATCGTAAACGAGGACGACGGAAATTCCGAATTACTTGATAGTTGTTATTAAACAGTGACTAATATACTAGAAATAATTCTCATTACAAAAGAAGAAAATGAATGCTGTACCTTCCCAGATTGCTCTAGTCTTAAAGATGTGGAGATGATAGTTATACCCTCTTCTGGGTTTTTCTCCTGGGAGGTGCAACAATAGAAGGTCTAGTAACAAACAGACTAAAGCAAATATGCTGAAGGATACCTAGGTGTTTTGTAGATCCATACATAGATCTCATATCAGTTTCTGTCCTTTAATGGGAAAACAGATGAAATACAGTTCATGTGCCTCATCTCTTTCCACATCATCTTATATAAACCATTATGTACAATTAAATGTGTTCATGTTGACATATATGGCTTTTTTTTATAAACAGAAGCATTTTAACATGAGGTAATTTTTAAAGCAAACCTATACAAATGTAGTAACTACCAACAATAACGATACACGTAATATGGTTTTTTAAATTTTTTGTTTGAAAATCAACATTAAAATTTCAAGAAATATAATAGGTGTATGGTTTATTCAAATATGAGAGTCATTTTCTACTTTTTTATAAACATGTAGGAACTGAATTGGGAATTAGAATAAATTTATGTTCAGTTTAAGGCATATTGGACCTTTATCCATTTATTTCTGAAAATTATTGAGAATGTTTTTACTGATCAATCTTTCTTATTATTCTAATCAATCTTTATTCAATCTTTATTCAAGTTGTACTTTAAAAATGTGATGGAAAAGGACTGAACACAGCAGAGAGTAAAATTACAATCAGATAATCAAATATAATATGCATTAGTTACTTCACTTAAAAGTCATTCCAGGTATGATGTGGAATAATAAAGTTACCAATAAAAAATACAGCCAGTCTGATCATGTGACAGATTTTTATCCCCTTATTATACAATAACATGGCTGAAGATGTTTGGATTTTGTAAATAAATTGTGCAGATGATATCCTTAATAGTCATATTTAGTAACTTTTATATCAAATCTGGTAAAATTCTCATTTTGGTGTGAGGGCTTTGCTCATTGTTGAAGAATATTTAATGAATTTCACCTGTTGAATTAGGTTCTCAGTGCATTGTTGAATAGCTGTCTCATCACTGTATACTCATTAGTTTTGTCTCACCTGTGTCAAATGTCACAGATGGAAACTCAATATTTTTAAAGAATGTATGCTGATTAACTTACTTCAGTTTAATAAAACTGTGGTCATTCTACTTAGATTTAGTGCAATATGATATATATGTGGTGCTGTTTTATTTTTGTTACTAGGTGACAGTTGTGAAACTTTGGTGATAATAAGTGTATCTGTGTTTAGTTTCAGCTGAAAAATGGTTTATGTATTTATCATACTTTCATAAAGCGTCTGTCATATTTAAATCTGCTTAAACATGAGAAAACTGTAATATTATTAACCGATAAAAAGACCATGTTTAATAATAGAACTGTTAATTATTGAATACTATAAATGTCCTAAATATTAGTGTTGACTTTTTTAACATTGGCCAATGGGTAAAGCAATTAAGCACATTTTCTTTTCAACATTACAGTGAAAGGCACGTTCTTATTCAGTGACATAATAACATTCATACAGGGTGATATAGATTTATTGTACTTTCCATTAAAATTTTTGTCGAATTACAATTTAAGGTATGTTTTCATTTATATCTTGGTTTTGATATCTGTGCTCATTAACTTAATTTTGTACGAATCACACACTAATAACATTGTTTTATTCAATCTTGATTGCAATATTGTATCATGTATAATGCATAGTGATTAACCTTATTTTAGAAACGCCTCTTTTTATACTGCCTAACTTGCCATTTTTGTGGTTGTGATATTTATATAGTTGTCCCGACTTTTTGTAATTTTTACTATTTTTAGATATGATGTAAAATATGAAATTGTTTGCTTTCTATCTAGTCATTTAGTTTTTATATATAATTTTACAATCAATCATCATTTTATCATGTCACTCAAGATTACTTGCAGGGTTAAAAATTTTGAACTTAAAAAGGGGTGTCTTTATATTTTCAGGCGACATAATTATTAACAAGATTATGAAAGTTCAGCTTACCAGTTTAACTTGTTTTGTTTATGATGACGTCATAATAACCGAATCTTATCTCAGGACTTCAAATCTGAAATTTTGTAATTGCACAGAATTCCCCATCGTCATTTATTAAATGTAACAGACAACATATTTGTTGTTTACAGAATTTTTATGCCCCACCTACGATAGTGAAACTGTATCTACTCCCATCAAATTTGAATCATTAAAGGATTTAGTTCTCAAGACTTAATTTAGGATTCTAATGCAATTGGTTTGTAACAATAATTTTCATTTGACGTTGACAAATATTTTGAAGGGTTAGATTCCACGTTCTACCAGTCCGTAACTAAGAAAGCCACCATTTTGAATTCCGATTTTTTGGTATGTAATTTTCTCACAAAATCTTCTTTTTGTCAACATTGAAACCAGTCTGAAGCGTACAGTGATTATGTTTGACATTGTGAGTATACATATTACGTCACATTGTTTAGATGCTAAAGACGATGCAACAGTTTCGCTGACTTTTTCATTTGTCATTTTAGGCCAAAATATTTATTAAATGGAATTTATTTTAATATGCTGCATTAGAATGGAGATAACTGTATTGTGTTTTCAGCTTGGCCTTCGTAAAACTTGATTTTACTGTCGCAAATATCCGTTTACCTAGCTCTGCTACGTGTCGCTAGGTAAACTCAATTTGCAACAGTAAAATCTACATTATACGAAGGCCAAGCTTAAAATACAATACAGTTATCTCCTAATTATTAAATTACTATAAAATGATTTACTTCTTAGATTTTTTCTTTCATTTTACAATTGTGCAAAATAGGATTTCAGACTTATAACACTTTATTTTGTAGATTATGTATTTTAGATGTTAAAATTTCAACTACTGGATGATGTGGATGATACTAAATCATAATTAGCTTGAAATATAAATTTAAATTGTACAACACATTACATAAATAGCTGTCTTTGAAGCAAAATCCTATATATGTATCGTATTATCAAAATAATGGTATATTCTCCTAAAACCAAGTAATACTTATAAAATATATTGTTAAGGCAGCAGTTGTATTTATTTGTGTTATTTGTAATGTTTTCCCAAGTATGCATACAGCATTTCTGTGGTATAAGTCATTGTATGTTTCATTTAGGGATATTGTAATATAGATAATATTCAATATAAGATAATTTTGCCTTTCTGTAAAAGAATATCCACTTGGCATTGTAGTTTATTAATGCATATCATATAACATAAAAAAATTCTACAGTTCTTTGATTGTTATACTTAAAATAAATTTTCTGAAAATGTATGTGCTCTCATCATGTCTTGCTATGTTTATTTGGAAGGGTGAAAGGTTTTGGCATTTTTTTCTTTTCCTTAAACAAAAATAACATTATTTTTTTTTCAAATGACTGACTTTTTTGTGGTGTAAAAAATTGGAAATCTTTTAAATTATGGCCCAGTGATATCAGATTATTTTTTTTATATATTTCAATTATTATCATTTTTTGTTTTGCCAGAAACATTTTGTTTAGGAAACGACACATAACAATCCTATATCCTGGTGTTTGCAGCGTCAATATTTAGGTTCATTTTATGGTTAAATTATTTTCAGACATCATGTACATTGTAAAGTCTTTGTAGAATTTTGATAACTTTGTTTGAAGCTTTTTAATGATCAAAAGATGTGTTCGAAACAAATTTTGAAATATTTTTTTTAACATTTTCCCATATTTTACTGATAAATTGACTTAGTTTTTATACGACCGCAATTTTTTTTGCAAATTTTGCAAAAAAAAAGGGGGGGTAAAAAAATTTTTTTTGGGGGGAGGTCAATTCGCAACAGCATAGTGTATTGCACTAAAACAAAAAATTGAATATAAATTCAAATCATATAACCAATTCTAAGTTCTTTGACTACAGTTATGTCAGAAACCTATTATGTGTCAAATATTTAATTACAATCCAAATTCAGACCTGTATCAAATGCGAATATTGTGTCCATTTTTGCTCCAACTGTTCAGGGTTGGACCTCTGCGGTCGTATCCAGCTGCGCTCGGCAGAGCAATTTATTTTCAGTTGACATTAAGATACAGTCTGGGGTTAAATTTTTTTAGACATCAATAACTTTGTCTAATATTAATAGAATTTATAAAACTTTAACAGAAGCTTTGTTTAAGATTAAAAAATAAAATATGAAACAAAATTTGAAAATATGTATGTTTCATTTTTGTCGAGCCTGCGACTTTTGTCGCAGAAAGCTCGACATAGGGATAGCGATCCGGCGGCGGCGGCGGCGGCGTTAGCTAACTTCTTAAAAGCTTTATATTTTAGAAGATGGAAGACCTGGATGCTTCATACTTTGTATATGGATGCCTCATGTTACGAAGTTTCCGTCAGTCACATGTCCAATGTCCTTGACCTCATTTTCATGGTTCAGTGACTACTTGAAAAAAAAGTTCAGATTTTTTGTAATGTTAAATTCTCTCTTATTATAAGTAATAGGATAACTATATTTGGTATGTGCGTACCTTGCAAGGTCCTCATGCCCGTCAGACAGTTTTCACTTGACCTCGACCTCATTTCATGGATCAGTGAACAAGGTTAAGTTTTCGTGGTCAAGTCCATATCTCAGATACTATAAGCAATAGGTCTAGTATATTCGGTGTATGGAAGGACTGTAAGGTGTACATGTCCAACTGGCAGGTGTCATCTGACCTTGACCTCATTTTCATGGTTCAGTGGTTATAGTTAAGTTTTTGTGTTTTGGTCTGTTTTTCTTATACTGTATGCAATAGGTCTACTATATTTGGTGTATGGAATGATTGTAAGGTGTACATGTCTAGCTGGCAGGTGTCATCTGACCTTGACCTCATTTTCATGGTTCAGTGGTCAAAGTTAAGTTTTTGAGTTTTGGTCTTTTTTTCTAATACTGCATGCAATAGGTCAGCTATATTTGGTGTATGGAATGATTGTAAGGTGTACATGTCTAGCTGGCAGGTGTCATCTTACCTTGACCTCATTTTCATGGTTCAGTGGTCAAAGTTAAGTTTTTGAGTTTTGGTCTTTTTTTCTAATACTATATGCAATAGTTCAACTATATTTGGTGTATGGAAATATTTTATGATCTATATGTCAGTCACGCAGGTTTTATTTGACCTTGACCTCATTTTCAAGGTTCATTGCTCAGTGTTAAGTTTTTGTGTTTTCGTCTGTTTTTCTTAAACTATAAGCAATAGGTCAACTATATTTGTTGTATGGAAGAATTGTTAGCTGTACATGCCTGCCTAGCATGGTTCATCTGACCTTGACCTCATTTTCATGGTTCATTGGTCAATGTTTAGTTTACTTGGTTAATGTTAAGTTTATGTGACAGTTGTAATAAAGCTTTATATTTAGGACTATCAACATAATATCAATGATTAGTAAAGAAGGCGAGACATTTCAGCGTGTGCACTCTTGTTCTATATTTTATCGATAAATGGACATAGTTTTTTGGAGTTTAACATTTACATACAGACTAGGACTGAATTTTTTAGACATCAATAACTTTGTTAAACCATCATTATGAACCTTGGACAGATTCTTCTTCAAGATCAAGTATAGCATTTGAAGAAAAAAGTTTTGGCAATCTATATTACACTTTCACACTTACAGCAGCAGTCATAGGTGAGACATGAACCCAGAACAATTTAGAAAAAAAATGTAAGCAGATAAACATTTTTGAAAATAAAATATATATGCAAACATTCTATTTTAGAAATTACTTGAAAGATTGCTTGCCTTAGTTGGCTTGATTTAAAATGGTATCTTCAAGATATATAGACTATTAGAATTGGAACTCATTGCTTTCACTTGCAGTTTTAGAGGACACAGTCACGATTATGACAGTTGATCACTTGTTGACCTGATAACTATTTAAAAAGATTATCCTGGACATTTGCTTGTTTAAATATGGAAATAATTCTATTATTTTTCAATATACCTTGAAGTTAAAAACCAGTGTTCTTGCAAATGATGAGTTTCATTGTTGTTATACAAGGAAGTGTTAGTTGTTCAAATCAAGATTTGTCAGGTGACCTATTCTTATGTTTATGTTAGTCCCTTTGATGCAGTTTTAATAACTGTCACTCTTTGAAATAGCTCATGAAGCAATCTGAAAAGAATTTACCACTTAAGAAAACTGTCATAGTAATAAAAAGCCTAACAATGTATTTTAACTGACTATTTGGTATGTTATTGATATGAATAAATACAAGTGATTTTACATGTTAATGTTGTTGTTTTTTTAATCTGATCTTGAAGCTAATACATTTCAAGGAGTTATTATATTTAAATTCCTGGTAAATTTTTTGTATTTGCAAAAAATCTTTTAATGAAAAGTATCAAAAAATATCAATGTAAGTCTTGTATTTCAAAACTTTACTCCTGTATGATATTTTTATATTTATCACTTCACACCTTTTATCAAAATCAGAATTCCAGCTTTTTATTCTTTCTGTTGTTTCTATGATAATGTTATTATACTTAAATTTCCTGTTCAAATACTCTCTGTGATGTATGAGTAATAACAGTAGACAAGGTAGGATTTAGATTGTTTATATATGTTACATTGTTTTGTGTATTGTCATATAAATGTTATGTAAAAACAAGCAAATAAAAAATCATTATTGATGTTTTATTGATCATTATTTCTGAATATTTCCTGATTCACTAGCTTGTTGTATTTGCAATTTAAGAAAATAAAAATTCAGCACAGAAATTAGTAACTGTGTGTTCCTTAAATCCTTGGTTAATTGATTATTGTTTACTTAATGTCTCTTATCTTAAAAAGCACTATGAAAAGAGAAAATTTGACGTGCAGCAAAGTTCAGAATGTGGAAATCTACCTACTGTCCATTTACATCAAAACTGTCAGACAACTTGTTATAGGAGTTATTGCCCTTAAATGATGAATTTTACCATTTTCCCCCTTTGTTTGTGCCTTTTTTCTTGAAACCTATAATAGATAGAGAGAAACTTACATAGCAAAAATGATCAGCGAGACAGGATCTACAAATAAGTCAACATAACCGAAATCGCCAGATGACCCCTTATTGGAGTTCTTGCAGTTTAATGACGATCTTTGCCATTTTAAGCATGTTTGCCTAATATCTTAAAAACTGTAATAGATAGATGGGCACTTTATGTAGCAAAATTAATCAGCAAGACTAGATCTACAAATAGGTCAACATGGCCAAAATCTTCAGTTGAATCTTTATTTGATTTCTTGCTCTTTATTGACAACGTTTACCAATTTCTTGTGTTTTAGCCTATTATCTTGCAAAACTATAAAAGATAGCTAGACTATTTAATAGCAAAAAATATCAGCAATTTAATAATTAGGAGATGTGGTATGATTGCTAATGAGACAAATATCCACCCAAGTTCAAATGAAGTGGATGTAAGCAATTATAGGCAACCGTACGGCCTTCAACAATGAGAGAAAATCCATACCATATAGTCAGCTATAAAAGGCACCGACATCAAAAATGTGAAACAATTCAATAGAGAAAACTCACAGCCTAATTTATAACAAAACAATTTACAAAAAACAAATACGAACCAATGACAATCACTGAACTACAGGCTCCTAAATAGGGACAGGCACATACAGAATGTGGCCAGGTTAAACATGTTTGAAGGCGCCAACACTCCCCTAAACTGGGAAAGTGGTGTAACGGCACAACAAAAGAATAAACTATGCAAAACAACAAACACTCAATTACAGGCTCCTGACTTGGGACAGACAAAAATACAATGTGGCGGGATTAAACATGGTTGTTGGTGCCAAATCCTCCCCCTAACTTTGGACAGCAAGACAAGATTTACTTATAAGTCAAAGTTTGCCGAAATCTTTAGTTTGCTCTTTATAGGAGTAATCGCCTCAAATGATGATTTTTTAACCCCTTTTTATACGACCGCAAAAAATTTTTGTGGTTGTATATTGGTATGACGTTGGTGTCGTCATCATTGTTGTTGTCGTCCTCCAAAGACACATTGGTTTTCGCACAATAACTTTAGTTTAAGTGAATGGATCTATATGAAATTTTACCATAAGGTTCAATACCACAAAAGGAAGGTTGGGGGTTATGGTACCAACAGTTAAGGAATTAAGGGCCAAAAAAGGGTCCAAAAATAAGCATTTTTGTAACTTCCAGACAATAACTTGTGTTTAAGTGTATGGATCTCTCTGAAATTATACCACAAGTTTCCATACCATAAAAGGACGGTTAGGATTGGCTTTGGGGGGTTATGGCTCAAACCGTTTAGGAATTAGGGGCAAAAAAGGGGGAAAACAAGGGTTTCCTGGTTAATGGACAATTTAAAAGCAGTGTAAGGGAGGTAATCCAAAAACAAAATTGTACAATGTTGTACAATGTTGGATTACCTCCCTTACACTGCTTTTAAATTATCTATTTAAGACTTTTATGATGTATTTAAATGGGTAATTATGGTTGCAAACTCCATTGGTAATTTGAATTGAGATTATGACCATATCTTGAGGGAAATTTTTTTTTTTAAAAGGGGGAAGGGGGGGTAAAAAAGAAATGGGGGGGGGGGGGGGCATTTTTTTCTCATTTCAGATTTCAGAAATTAAACAAAAAAAGGATGGGGGGGATTTTTTTGGGGGGTGTCAATACGCAACAGCATAGTGTATTGCACAAAAGCAAAAAAAAATGGGTTAATTTTTATTTATTTTTTTTTTGGGGGGGGGGGGGGGGGGTCAATTCGCACAGGCACAGTGTATTGCACAAAAACAAAAAATCGAATATGAATTCAAATCATATATTTTTGCTCCAACTGTTCAGGGTAGGACCTCTGCGGTCGTATCCAGCTGCGCCCGGCGAAGCAATTTATTGTGTTATGGGCAAAAACTTAAGAAGATAGAGTGAAACTGTAAAAAAAAAAAAAAATGATCAGCAATACAAGGTCAACAAAAAAAGAGCTCTTTGTCATAAATTCTATTCTGATCCAAAATGTTGGATGGTGTCCATTGTTGAAGATGCACATAGACCTAGGTGAGCGACACAGGCTCTTTAGCATCTCTAGTAACATGTAGCTTTTCGTAACTCAATGTTATTGTGAGAAAATGAGTACTGAAGCATAATTTAACTGTGCAACATGATTATGTGCTTGTAATCAACAAAAATTTTCCCACAAAAGCCCCCCCCCCCCCCCCCAAAAAAAAAAAAATCCGCCTCTGATATAAGTACGACTTTTTTGTATTAGTGGATTTTTCCAATAGCGGTCGATTGCTATACGGACGGATTTCTTCCATAAATGTTTCGTTGGTGGATCATTCAGTAGTAGGATTGGTGATGGTAATTTGTATTTGAACAGTACTCTCTTAAATTGATCGCAGCGGCTATGAACCAGCTGTTACTTTCTTCACTTTTAGTAATTAGTTGCCTTCTTGATTATTTTCTTTTCCAAATTTTCCGCATTTAAGTTACATATATGTTATTAAATAGATTTAATGATTTCTGATCTATTTGAGCTTCTATAGGTAGGATACCAGATAGTATGTAAATACTAGGATCTGGACGGCAGATATTGGTACAGTTAATATTTGTTTTAGGGAGCTACCATTTGATTTTTATGTGGGGGCTAGGATGAAAAAAAATTTGTCCAGCATTTTTTTTTTAGTTGTAATCTCTGTCCTGCCTTTTTATTTTTCACTCTATTCGGTCCTGCCTTTTTTTATTAGTTTATCCTGTCTTTTTAGCTCACCTGGCCCAAAGGGCCAAGTGAGCTTTTCTCATCACTTGGCGTCCGTCGTCCGTTGTCCTGCGTCCTGCGTCCGTCGTCCGTAAACTTTTACAAAAATCTTCTCCTCTGAAACTACTGGGCCAAATTTGACCCAATTTGGCCACAATCATCATTAGGGTATCTAGTTTAAAAAATGTGTCCGGTGACCCGGCCAACCAACCAAGATGGTCGCTATGGCTAAAAATAGAACATAGAGGTAAAATATAGATTTTGGCTTATATCTCTGAAACCAAAGCATTTAGAGCAAATCTGACATGGGATAAAATTGTTTATCAGGTCAAGATCTATCTGCCCAGAAATTTTCAGATGAATCTGACAACCCGTTGTTGGGTTGCTGCCCCTGAATTGGTAATTTTAAGAAAATTTTGCCGTTTTTGGTTATTATCTTGAATATCATTATAGATAGAGATAAACTGTAAACAGCAATAATGTTCAGCAAAGTAAGATTTACAAATAAGTCAACTTGACCAAAATGGTCAGTTGACCCCTTAAGGAGTAATTACCCTTTATAGTCAATTTTTAACCATTTTTCGTAAATTTTTGTAATCTTTTACAAAAATCTTCTCCTCTGAAACTACTAAGACAAATTTAACCAAACTTGTCCACAATCATCATTAGGGAATCTAGTTTAAAAAATGTGTCCGATGACCCCGCCCGCGAACGAAGATGGCCGACATGGCTAAAAAATTGTACATAGGGTAAAATGCAGTTTTTGGCTCATATCTCTGAAACCAAAGCATTAAGAGCAAATCTGACAGAATAAAATTGTTCATTAGGTCAAGATCTATCTGCCCTGAAATTTTCAGACCAATCAGGCAACACGTTGTTGGGTTGCTGCCCCTGAATTGGCAATTTTAAGAAAATTTTGCAGCTTTTGGTTATTATCTTGAATATTATTATAGATAGAGATAAACTGTAAACAGCAATAATGTACAGCAAAGTAAGATCTACAAATAAGTCCACATGACCAAAATTGTCAATTGACCCCTTAAGGAGTTATTGCCCTTTATAGTCAATTTTTTACAATTTTCATAAATTTTGTAAATTTTTGTAAATTTTTACAAAATATTTTCCACTGTAACTGCTGGGCCAAGTTCATTATAGATAGAGATAATTGTAAGCAGCAAGAATGTTCAGTAAAGTAAGATCTACAAACACATCACCATCACCAAAACACAATTTTGTCATGAATCCATCTGTGTCCTTTGTTTAATATGCACATAGACCAAGGTGAGCGACACAGGCTCTTTAGAGCCTCTAGTTTTACATAAATTGTCATCCTGCTTTTTTTTTTGCAAAGTTGCTCATCCTGCCTTTTTTTTTTTACTAAAAACTCCTGTCCTGCCTTTTTTCAAATTTCATCCTAGCCCCCCTATAATGTCTATGATAGTTTAGCTGTTATCTTAACCAAAGTAAACAAAGTCATGAAAAGATGTTCAAATATTCTTTGAAAGTTCTTCTGAACAAACGACAAAATCAGAATAGAATTATTCGGGTAAACGATAGAAAAAACGAAGTTTTTATGGATGAAACATTTAAATGTTGCCCTATTAGTAATCAAGCAGCTTAATACAATTCGTGGATTTATAATTGGAAACTACATTTCTCTTGTGTCCATTCTGTTGCATAGATATTTCGTGGAACTGTACCATCATGGCTTATCTAGCAAGCTTGTTTCAATTTGTGAAGACCGAAATTTGATTTTTAAAACCACCTGCTGTTCGTGTTGTCTTTTAGAAAGGGTCATTATGGTTATAAGGAATTTACTTTCATGCGGCCTCCTGAAGTGCTGTGACGTCGTTTTTATTGGGCACAAGCATGATGGCGAGAAATGAAGTCTGTTAGCTATATATAAATATGAA